CCCCCCCCCCCTCCCTCCCCCGATTTGGGCCGTGCAAACCTTTGTTCGCGATTCGACGAGTCCGAAATCGATGCAGGATAAGACTCTCTCTCGCGCGATTAGAAGAATATTCGGTATATCCCCCGAAGGATATGACGAAGCGAGAGGCATGGTCGGCTATACGACGGCGAATCAAAGGGAACCGTAGGAAAAGTTTGATGCGCTTAAGTTTCGCTTTTGCAAACTCGATCCGGATCTACCTTTACTTAAAACAAGGCGAGGTAGCCGCAGAACTGCCGGTTAGTTAAGACGAAACGAGAGGTAATCGAGGAATCGATTTTCGACAATCGCAGGAAGGAAGAATCGTAGAGACGGCGAGCGAGGAATCTGGATTTTAAACGAAACGAACGAGGGATCGATTCCGTCGTCGTCGTCGTCGCCTCCTCGCGGCGCGGCGCAACGTGGCCGCCCGTGTGAGAAACTTTTAATTGCGTTCCGCGCGCGAGCGGAGCGGCCCATTTCGTCGGCACTCGGGGTCGAGAACCGGAACGAAGGGACGAGAAATCGTGGTGTAGGTAGGGAAGGTAGGTGGAAGAGGAAGACGAGAGGGAGACGACTGCGAAAGAGGGCGGTAAGGCGAACGGCGCGAGCGAGTGCATAACTTATGCGTGTTCGCCGAACGAAGAATTGTCTCGAGGAGGGCAATACGAGTAGGGAATAAGCTGGGGCGCGCTGCGTAGAAGACGAATGTGAAAAGTTGAGAAAAAGTGGTGAACAACTAAAAACAGTACACTGAGAGAAAAGTGTTTGGTATTTGTGACTGTAATTGCATGATAACATAATTCTGTAGACGTTTGCGAGAACAACCATAAATTCTTTTTATAAACGGAATTAGAAATATAATTATATTATTATTACTGTATAACGTTATAGCAATATGATAAAAATGAAGCTTTTAATTATAATTATTTTACCACGCAATTATTACGTTACAAATGTCATACTTTTCTCACAATCAATACGGTACGCAATACTTCAAACGTGTATTTCTAGTTGAACGAACGAGAAGTTTTTGATTATATCATTCAAAATTTTGGTTATCTGAACTAGAATTATAGTAGATTTATCCAGAAAATTCTGATCAATTTGTCCATTGTTGAATAAAATTCTAATTAATGCAATCAGACTTTTTTTGTAGGTATATGTACGTGCATATAGAACAGAAAGAACGGTTTTTTTACTGAAGTATTTAAAAATTTACACAGATGTATTATAAAAATAAATTTTATTAGATCATCAAAATAGTAGAACGCTTAAATTAGTTGCTAGAATGTCCAAACTTTTTACAGCATGGTTCATCATGCTTAAATTTCCTATATAATTATTTTGATAGTTTAATAAAATTATTTTTAAATTTGTGTGTACTTAAAATTTTTAATATTTCAATAAAATTGTTCTTTCTATATTTACGTATAGATACGCTGGGAAATATAAGTATATTATACACTTGAGTGGACTTCGACAAACTACAAACTCATCGTCAAATTTTATGTGTGCACAGATGTCTTAAAAATTCCATACGTTACTTTCAGAACAATTTCTTTCGTAATCCTCAATTACTCGCAAAAAATCCGCGCGTTCAATCGCTTGTAATTATAGCGACATTCGCTAATTATGAGCTTCGCGACGCGAAATCGCTATAACAGCACGCGAAGACTCTTGGATCTTATTGCCACTCACCTTCTCCTCGAGCCGCGGACCGTCCTCCATTGCGTGCATGATGGCATCCGAAATGCGGGAGTCCAACTCCCTGACGGCGATCCTGACGTTCAAACCGTGGTAATCGGTATTGCCGCTCACCGCCGCGACGAGCCTCTCGACCGCCTCCACGTAACCGGACCACGCGAGATCCAGTTCGGATGCCGGCTCCGTCAGGCAGCCTCTGCAACATTTATTTGCATTTTCTCTCTCCCATAAGCTCGCAACTCGCGAAATTAAGGCGGTCGGTCGAAAATCACCACGATTATCATACCGATTATCACGCAAATCTAATAATTATAAATCACTCCGTAATAATTTCCTTATAACGCGTATCATTATAAATCTTACTATTAGAAACAATAAAAATCTTACGAGATACACAAAAAGAACAATTTCGCTGAAGTATCTATTAAAAAGGACCTCTCGCATTAATTATACAAGGTAATTTTTATTTTAATTTTAACAAGCAAATATTTCGAAAATATATCAATTAAGAATTTGAAATGATTGTTTCTTTGTAAATGAAATTCTTTCTTTATATAAGATTGATATTTTCGAAATATTTGCTTGTTAAAATTAAAATAAAAATTATCTTGTATAATTAATGCGAGGTCTTTTTTACAACGGTAGTAATCTTAGTTTAACCTTGAGATAACATTTATTTAAATGTTTCTTCGCAAAATTAAATTTTCAAAAAATTTGTCCGTTGATAATTATTATCAATTTAATCATTTAATCATCCATCAAGGAAAGACGATATTACTAGCGTCATTACTCGGTCGTGCACGATTTACGACGCGTAACGGTCGGTGTTTCCCATATCGTTGTGCCTACCGGAAAAGCGGATTTGTCACGCAGACGAGATTTCATCGTCCCCTAACAATAAGCCCCTCTTCCCCTTCCCGCGTGCATTACGAGAATCCGCACTCTTAGGACTGTTCTTATGAATTACTTACCTCACCACGTTTGTGCAGAATCCGCTGCAGGGACTTACAGCCTCCTTGATTCCCTTGCATTTGGGACAATAAGTCATTCTAAGCAGGGCATCGTAACAGGCCTCCTGCTGAAGATTGTTACCGCTGCTGGTGGCAAATAACACGTTGTCAGTCTTGTCGAGGACAGTTTTACCGAGTGTCAACGCCTGCACGAGAATCCTGGTAGCTTCCAGGCTCTTGCCGATCTTCTTAAATATCTCCTGCGGCGTGTCACCGAACGGTTGTATGTCATTAATCCTCTCGTACAGGCAGGATTTAAACTTGTCGGTGAAGTCCTGCCGATCCTGATGCGGATTAATGGCGTAATGATAGGCAATCGGGAAGAGCCGCGTGAAGAATTGACTGATCCGCTCCTGCAAAGTTTCTCGCGTCAACGGCTGCTGCAGATTGTCCGGGGTGTTAGCCGGCGACACGTAGTCCATCATCGCCTGGTAGAGCGCTCGGATCGACGATCTGCTCTGCACCGCCATCGAGCGGTACACTTGATCGAACATAACCAGAGTCTTGTTCTCCGACCTCCGCAGCAACACGATCACCGTCTCTGCGCAGATGGCGGAAAGTGCTCGCTTTAATATTTAACAAGAGCGATTTAACGCGAAAATCCTCCGTCCATTTTCTCCGCAACTCAATATCGAGGTTCGTGTAATCCTCGGATCGGAGATCGCAAAAATATTGGAAACTCGCGAAATTTTTTTTCAACCTTCGGGAAGATTTCTCTGTCGCGGAGTATTCGATTTTAGATATCATTTCTATATATACAGATACAATTCGAATCGTTAAAAAGCGATTCTCTGCAAGCAGAGAACACATTTATTTAGGATGCGAAGAGACAATAAAATTACAAATCAGCGTCATTGTATAAGTTCTCTGTAAACAATACCGAAGTAGCTCGTGAAATTCGAGTAAATATTGGGTATGTTAAGTTAGCACCCCAACTATAGTACTCAGGAGTTCTGATTAGAGTTCCCACTTTCTTTTGACGAGACGAAGAGTTTCCTATAGTTAATAACAAGAGTTCCGCTCAATAAACATATTTTTTACATTTTTTAAAAATGGAGTGCTAACATTTTATCGAATTTCGAGGTGAAATAGTTCTGAGCGGTTTAATAGCTTCAATTTGCGATTGCCTAGAGTTCCTGATATGTAAAAAAAATTTTTGAATATTAACAAAAAAAATTAAAAATTTTTGAAAAATTTATTTTTAGATACGATAGTTCTGATGATAATTTCTGCTCCTTTTTGACGATACAAAGAGTTCTCTATGATTTTTAATGACATATGCGCATAATAATCATTTTTTAATAATTTTATAAAAATAGGGTGATAACATTTTAACGAAATTCAAGGTCGCATAGTTTTGATCAGCTTAACAGAAGTATTTTATGAATACCTAGAGTTCTTGATACATAAAAAACATTTTTGAAGAATAATAAAGTTTAAAAAAAATAGTAGAAATCTTTGAAAATTTTTTTGAGAGTACCGAGTAGTTCTGATAGTACTCGACGTTTCTTATAGTACTCGACGAGTTCTATCGAAAACTGTAAGGTGGAAAAGCGATTGGACCAACGGTTTGCAAGATACAGCGACATTTGTCGGAAGATCAACAATTCTTAAAGTGAGTATATCTCGGAAACCGTTGGTCCAATCGCTTTGAGCCCTAATACTTTTCGACAGAACTCACCGAGAACTGTCCAGAACTGCGATCAGAACTACTCGGTACTCCCAAAAAATTTTGACTTTAAATTTTTTTCGAAGTCCTACGTCGGAAAATTTTTTGAGAGTACCGAGTAGTTCTGAGTAGCGTTTCTTATAGTTCTCGACGAGTTCTATCGAAAACTGTAAGGTGAAAAAGCGATTGGACCAACGGTTTGCAAGATACAGCGACATTTGTCAGGAAATCAACAATTTTTAGAGTATATCTCCGAAACCATTGGTCCAATCGATTTGAGCCCTAATACTTTTCGACAGAACTCGCCGAGAACTGTCTAGAACTCCGATCAGAACTACTCGGTACTCTCAAAAAATTTTCCGACGTAGGACTTCGAAAAAAATTTAAAGTCAAAATTTTTTGGGAGTACCGAGTAGTTCTGATCGGAGTTCTGGACAGTTCTCGGCGAGTTCTGTCGAAAAGTATTAGGGCTCAAAGCGATTGGACCAACGGTTTCCGAGATATACTCACTTTAAAAATTGTTGATCTTCTGACAAATGTCGCTGTATCTTACAAACCGTTGGTCTAATCGCTTTTTTATCTTACAGTTTTCGATAGAACTCGTCGAGAACTATAAGAAACGCTACTCAGAACTATTCGGTACTCTCAAAAAATTTTCCGATGTGTGACTTATAGAAAAAAATTTGAAGTCAAAATTTTTTGGGAGTACCGAGTAGTTCTGATCGGAGTTCTGGACAGTTCTCGGCGAGTTCTGTCGAAAAGTATCAGGGCTCAAAGCGATTGGACCAACGGTTTCCGAGATATACTCACTTTAAAAATTGTTGATCTTCTGACAAATGTCGCTGTATCTTACAAACCGTTGGTCCAATCGCTTTTTCACCTGACAGTTTTCGATAGAACTCGTCGAATACTATAAGAAACGCTACTCAGAACTACTCGGTACTCTCAAAAAAATTTTCAAAGATATCTACTATTTTTTTTAAACTTTATTATATTTCAAAAATGTTTTTTATGTATCAAGAACTCTAGGTATTCACAAAATAGTTCTGTTAAGCTGATCAGAACTATGCGATCTTGAATTTCGTTAAAAAGTTAGCATCCCATTTTTAAAAAATTATTAAAAAATGATTATTAAGCGCATATGTCATTAAAAATCATAGAGAACTCTTCGTATCATCAAAAATAAGCAGGAATTATCATCAGAACTATTGTATCTAAAAATTAATTTTTCAAAAATTTTTAATTTTTTTTTTATTACTCGAAAATTTGTTTTTACATATCAGGAACTCTAGGCAATCGCAAATTGAAGCTATTAAGCCGCTCAGAACTATTCCACCTCGAAATTCGATAAAAAGTTAGCACCCCATTTTTAAAAAATGTAAAAAAAATGTTTATTTGGGCGGAACTCTTGTTATATTAACTATAGGGAACTCTTCGTCTCGTCAAAAGGAGGTGGGAACTCTAATCAGAACTCCTGAGTACTATAGTTGGGGTGCTAACTTAACATACCCGTAAATATCACTTTTCTGTATATGTAGAAAACATATACAGAAATGTATATCCATAGATTTTGAAAAAAATTAAGAAACTTAAAATGTTATAGCTGAGGAAAAGATTATACTAAAATATCAAAAGAAAAAGTTACTCTCGCCAGGATAAAAAGAATAAAGATCTTCATTCTCGATCTAGATACATAAAATAAAGCGTCTGTTTATCTTTCCTTGTTTTCTCTTTTCTCCTCACTAATTCTTCTGATCTAACTCAATCGAATAATTCCTCTCATGCAAATCCACCCACTTGAGATTTTGTGAGTGGAGCGAGAAGAGCGTGCTTGTAACTAAGGACGAATGCGGTTGCACTTAATCGCACGAACGCGTAAAACGAAGAAGACGGACGATAAGTGCTCCTTGATTCCCGCTTTAGTTTCAAGTGGCCTCGACAAGAATCTATGCGCGCGGAGGAGGCCTAGAGACGTGCAGCTTGCGGCTCTAATGATCTTATCGAAGGAAGTGGCGGCCGGTCAGGAAAAAAAGTTTCGCGTATCTTTATTTCGATAATATCGATTAGGATTGAAGTTTACAGATGTACGAGTATCGCTGTGTAAAACATTGAAATATATATCCTGTTTTCTATAGCGAAACTACACTGTTAGATAACAAAATGGTAATCCATTATCTTGAATGACATTTTGTTTTTAACTTCTCCATATGTATGTCAAAATGTAAATTAATCCATCTCTGTGGTTAGATTCAAAGTAAACATTGTCTATATTAACGTACACGCTTAGTAAATAATAAATTAAATTTGGATCAAATTTAATCGTATATTTTCTTGAATTAAAAACATTTAACTTCCCTATTTTAAATTAACAAGTAACATAGAAAATGAGTTATGGAAATGATTGAAATAACTTAAAATTCAACATTATAAATTTAATAATGTAGTATATATTTTTTAAATTTAAAATAAAATATTATAGGTATATTTTAGATTTGATAAAAGCAAGAAAGAGAAAGTTCCAGTGCTGAACTTAATACAGAAAATAAATAAAGTCAAGATATTCGCAAGCAAATGATGACTTGTGACGTTTTCTTCAATATTTATTGGTTATTAAAATGCATTTCTGTGAAATGTATCTCATTAACTATAAAACAATAAAAGAAATAGTTTATTTGCTAAAGTTAAAATTTTATTTTGCCATATCAAATAAAAATTTTATTTCAAGAAATAAACGTGTATCTTCTAAATCAATTTCGAAGTGTCCTCTTTTCTATTTTCTATAAAATCTCTTTGCACAAATTAATTAAAAAAATATATTTATATATTTATTATGACTTATATAATATAACTTAATACAATTAAAAACTCTTGAAAATGAAATTGCAAAAATAAATTAAAATATGACTAATAAAAGTCTAGCGCGGTCGATACACAGTACGTAGTTACATATGATCCATAAAATAATAAACTGATACATAAAGACAAATATAATATGAATTATAATAAATTATGGTACATATTTATGAGATAATTTGAAAATTTCATTCGCAGTTTCGACGCATAACTGACTGAGAGAGAGAGAGAGAGAGAGAGAGAGAGAGAGAGAGAGAGAGAGTGCGCGCGCGCGTGTGTGTCATTAAAATTATTACTGTTTCTCTTAAAAAGATGTTTCTTTGTAAGACACATCTTGCATGATATTGAAATTGGACTCGCCGAGAACATACCGGTTCCGATATCTGATTTGCGACATTGCGCTCCAGAATTATGCTTCGCGGACGAAACTCGTAACGCGTTTCCCACCGGGATCGCAACGGAGCGAAGCGTAATTTATTTTTAAATGGATATGTCTCGTGGTTGTGAAGCAACTAAAATTAACGAGAAATAAAAATACGCGTTGCGATATCCCACAGCCGTCTTCTTTCGCCGTTTCTTTCTTTTTCTCTCTTTCTCCCGATAGGAAAACGAAAGCTTTTACACTTTTTCCCTGTAAAATATTATTTGTTGAGGCGAATTATATATGCCTACGTTAAATCAGACTTCAAAGGCGGTATACTATTCGAATTTGTTTTCCTTCAATTACTGACATTCCATCGACTGGACAGGAACAAATTGAACAATGTCCACGCGTGCATGCCCTTTTAGCAGAAAATTACATCGATCCTAATCAAACAAGCACAGAATGTAAACAGAAATTCCATCGAATTCGAATTTCTGTTTATAAATGAAACACTCTCTTCTCACGAGTCATGTAATGTTGATTGTGACAGTATATAGCATTTAAAAGAGAGAGAAATAAAAGTTTTAAAATAATTTATTCCGTAACGAATATTCTGTGGAAAATAAATAATTCTAATGTTTAATATTAGAAATTTTCATGCATTAGTAATAATAGTTTAAATTTTTTAACAGTTAATAATTGAATGTAAATTAAGCATCACAAAAATACATCATTTCAAAATAATTTTATTTCGAATTGATATTATATCGATTCATCATAATAAATTATATCATAAAGATTCTGAAATGTTTTATTATAATATATAAATTACACTTTTATGTAAAAATAAATCTCATAAATTCAGAAATACTTTAATATTAGTGCATAAATCTATAACGCAATTTTACATTCTAATTTTTAACACGAAAGTAAAAATATTGCCAACAGGACAGCAACAAATTGTTATTATTAACCAAAGAATTACACGAAAGGGTAATTTTACAGAAGTATCTAAAAATTTAGCTAGAGATGATGTGACACAGATCTTATCGAACTATCAGAATAATATTGTGTAGGATATTGAAACTGAATGTTAGAATTTCAAAATTTTTTACAGTATTGCTTATTATATTTGAAATTTTTACATAATTATTCGGATGGTTTAACAAAATTATTTTCATCAGATCTGTATTTAACTTTCGTAAAATCGTTCTCCCTCCTCTCCCAAGCAGACTGTCCTTAGTACTTAAAAAAATTTATTAAAATGCGTATATATATTAACAGACTAGATTCAATAAATCCAAGCTTAAATTTGAAGACATAGGGATTATAGGAAAGGGGGTTCTCAGTTTTCACGAGGCCACGAAAAATTGACACGAACGCACTAGCAAAGATACAAACGTTTGGGGCGCGGAGAGAGGGGAGAAGGGAGGGAAAGAGAGAGAGAGAGAGAGAGAGGAAGCACATTTTTGCGGTATCGAAAATAGCAGAGAGCGGAGGCTGCGCTTGAATTCTAGACGCCGCGTTACCTCGGTAACGACACGCGCCTCGCGAACACGCCGCCTCCGCTTCGCGTTTCCTCGCGCGCGCTCCGACGCCTATCATGCATCCTCTGTCTTACCCCGGTTTCTGCTCGGTACCGGTTAGCATATACGCCAGTATAAATACCGGACTGACCACGTAATCGCGATGATGACTAAAGGCGCCGGCCGAATTGCACGATGTTGAAACCTGCACGCGGTTTCGCGAAGCTGAAAAAAAGTTTCTCGGAAAGTCGAAAAGAAGAGATGAAATCATCGTCTCGTAGTCTCTCAATTGGAAATAAAAGTGACGATTCTGTTGTCATCTATTGTAATACGAATAGCGAGAGGTAATTGAAAGTAATAAAACGCGTAATGTAGAACAATGAAGATGAATCGCGATTGACATCGCGCGTTAATTTCTCGTATGCAAATACCGCTCACGGCTCGAGATGAGGAGTGACATGTTTGCGCGGTCGATCTTACGCGCGAGGCCGTTGCAGGAATTAAGGAGATAGATCGGTTTAAGCGACAGAGGGAGGATGGGAGGCCAGGGTACAGAGAGGAGGGATAGCGGTTCGCTTTCTTGTCCCCGTATAAGGCGGCACGCCGAGAGCAACTCCGATTCTTCACCTACGAGGGAGTCCCGCAGAGAATCTTGGAAAAAGAGAAAGAGAGAGAGAGTGAGAGAGAGAAGAGAGACCAGCCGGAACTCGAAATCGTTCACGATAATTATCAAGGTTTTCAGTGTGCAAGAATCACGGATGCGATGAAAGCGATAAATGCATCTTTTCAGGGAGATAGAAGCGTCCCTTCTTCCCTTTTGTCGAACTTTTGCCGATATAGCACCGGCCAGGAATCTCCATAAATCAAACGTGCTGAAGGGCGGGCAAAACACGCTGAAAACCCTGTTATTTTAATGACAAAACCATCGGAAACGAAGAATAAGCCGTTGGTCAATACCGATGTTCGAAGGTGTTTTATGAGGGGAGTTTTATATTCATCGAAGAATCATCGATTCATCTGATATTTAGTAGAAATTCAACTTACTTTAAAATATATATTTTTTGTATACAATATGTACCATATTATAAGCTTAAAGTGTGAAAATTATATTAAAAACTGATTTCACGTACATATGTTAATAACTTGGCTCTAATAATGAACTAAATTACTTATTATTTATTAATAGTTTTATTATTTATCAAATCGTCTTTAACAGAGAGATTTAAATTAATTATCTGATTGTTTTCCAGTTAAATAATCAATTGAAATAACTTGGACTTTTCAATGACGAGAATTAAGATCGATAAAAATAACTTAAAAATTTTTTTATCACACATTTTTATGGGGGTGTAAACCGAGTGCAACTTTTTATGTTGTTACAGAGATTTATATTAAGCATACGTTTATATACACGTATATGCGTATTATTGTATATATCCCCGTGCAAAGTATTCAATAAGGCAGCGAACGCGTTAGAATGCTGTTCTAAGAGGTGGAGAGTATCCTACCTCTGAGAGCGTCGGCGGTGGTGGCGAGGAGGCCTTGTAGACTTCTACTGTGATGATGGATCAGATTGTGGAAGTCCACACGGGCTTGTTGCTTCAGACGCTTCTCCATCTCTTCGCCGCAGCACTTGCCGCCGCATGTCGCTGGAAAGAAGAAATATTTCGTTTTATTACCGAGCAACGTCACCCATTAAAGCCGACAGAAGTGCTCTTCCCTTTTCGTTCGGCCCGAAGTTAAATCGAATTGGGGCACGAGGGGTAGAGCCCCTCAGCTCAGAGAGCCGTGCGGTTAAATTGCATAAACTGCATAAGCCCGGTGATATAAGAGTTCGGTAATCTGACCTATTTGCGAAAATCACGGTCTCTACATCGAAAAAGACCGCTGTAAATGAAATCTGAGTCGCGGGAATCTCTGTAATCCGAACGAACGGGAATTCTATTATATCGAATTGTTTTATCGCACACGCAGAATTTCATTTTATCGAATTAATCGGGGTTTTCATCTTTCCACGCGCAATTTCACGCTCGTAACATTTCGTGCGGATATCCGGCGTATCGGGTATTAACTGCGCATTATTTGCGATTTTGATTTCTTTTTTTTTTTTTTTCGAAAAAGAACATCGATATTCAAACAACAGCCATGACTCCATGAATCGACACTTTATATACATATTTCCAGAATTCTATTTAATTAATAAAATAATGAATTACGAAGAAGCGATAAGATTTCTCACACACATTTAAAAAATAATGCCGAAAACTTACAAAAAATATTTAAAAAAATAAGATTCCGAAGAAAGAGGACAACTTACATGGAAATTACCAGTGATTCTTTCATTTCCACGATTAATCTGAACTACTACAATTATGAAGAATTCTCGAGATTATTCCTAATCTTCATAAAAATGCATCAGAAAGGAAAGTACAACTTACACTATTTTGCCATCTATTTTGGGAATTGTTTTATTTTTTTATGTATTTTTCTTCATGGAAACAGAAAATTTATGATAATAACGCTACATTAAAAAAAAAATTGGTGCATTGAAATAAATTAATAAACTCCTTATTCACATCGTTACGAAATCGCTGTCAGTTCTGCTTCAATCATTTAAAAACTAATTCAGAGTTGTGACTAAGAGTTGGATTATAGAGAGTTGAATCAACAACTCTAAATTGTCTTAATTTTTAAATGATTGAAACGTAACTGACAGCAATTTCGTAACAATATTGGCAAGGATGTTATTAACTTTATTTTACACACAATGTACAAATTTTTCCTTGAGTATAGCAATTTATATTATATGATAATTTTAATAAAATAAAATACATCAACAAATGTAGAAATAAAACAATTTCCGAGCGATCGCAAAAAATGTTGTACTCTTTAACTTTATACCGAAAGGATTTTTTAACTCGTGTGAGAACTTACGAAATAAAATTTGCAAAAAAATCCAAAGCTATTTCAATTCAACGCGCTCGCTACATTTGCATTTTAAATACGAGCCGATGCATATAGTGCGTTACATTAATATTCGCGTACGGCAATAATAACGCTTCCTCGCGATAATTTCGAGCGGAATCAGAAAATACGCGGTCGCGGCGCGGCGTCGCGAACGATCGAAATCCCTCGGTGACGTGCATTCCTCTTTGCCTGCGAGCGAACCGGTTTCACGACCGAACGCTGCACCGAATTTAAAAATATACGGGTACAGCGCGAAATAAAAGTACGGATGAATACAGAAATCGGCAATTAAACGCGAAGGCAAATGTAAAAAGCAAAAAAGAGTAGCTACACTGAAAAAAATGGTCTGGTTGGATTAAATAGTACTTCTGGTGAAAAATGAATAAATCAGAATTTTCTGGCTAATAAATCTACTAGAATTTTAATTGAGATAATTAGAATTCTGATTTTAATATAATTATTCTGGTAAAATTCTAATAGATTTTACCAGAAATATTGTATCAACTAGAATTCTGGTTACCTCAACTTATAGAATTCTAATTTTAGAGCCGATTGACCCATCTTCAGATAAATTATATGGTAACCTACAACCTATTGGTTACTTATTGGATAAACGAAAGAATAAAAGAGTAAGAGCATAAGAGAGTAAGTGAGTAAAACAGTGAACTGTTTACCAAAAGATAAAACAATTCAGCTTTAATCAATTTTTTTGAATCATCCATTTTCAACCAGAAATTTTTTCAGTGTAATTGTAATAAATGAATATAAAAATATAGAAATAAATATAAAAAATGGTAATGAGAGGGTGGATTGTCTGATTAGTGATATCGATGTTAAAATAAATTTGATGTATTTAAAAAGTATTCGGTAATTAAAAAAAAAAATAAAAATTTGATATATGAATTATGAGACACTTTATAATGGAATATATAAAGACAAGAAAAAGGGAGACACTACAAGAGACACGTGTAAAATTTTACATTATCTTGTTAATCTAAAATTGTAAAATTGTATACATACATAATTTTACATAATTAGCAAAAATATAATTAAATATAAAAATTAACAGTGAACGGATTGACTGATTAATATCAACTGTTAAGACAAAGAAATAATTAGAATGTGTATTTCGTAGAAATAAAAAAAAGATAAAAAGAATAAATAGTGTCTAATCAAGAAACAGGTTGACACGAGTCAATTCACAAATGAAAGTATAAAGACAAGAAAAAGAAAGGTGTATAACATTTATGTGACATAAATTTACGTGTAATTGGATATGTACATATATAATTATTCATTCGTAAAGAATGTTAATTTCTCTCTAAGAAATAGAATGCTACCGTCACTTATGGAGATTCATAATATTTCTCTTATTTTTAGGCTGTTAAAAATAAGTCACTACGTTTCGTAAACGAATAACTCGCGAGATTGATGGAAAAAGAAGCGCGGTGTTGTGCAATACCTATGAACTGCGTCCGAGTAGCGTTAGCCAATAGGATTAATTCCAAAGTTCTGAGAAACATCATAAATTACGAGATCAACAAGGAAGTAGATAGGGAACGGTGAAAAATCGTTAGAAAAAAAATAGACGCGTCGCGACACGAGCGATATGCTGATGCGAATGACTTTACGGATTGATTTTTTTACACTGGAAGATCGTTGTGCGCATCAAACTTCTCTTTTACCGAATCTTCCTTTTCTACGAAGCCAGTCATGCAAGATTTAAATCGATATGGCGGTGATCTTCGGAAAGTCTTCGCATTCAAATTTATTCGAAGAGTATCCGAATTCAATTACGCAAATATTTGCGATCTCAATTCCGCTTTTATAATAAATTCTGTATCGAATCCCACACCTTAAGATGATTCCTGGAGAGAAATCAGATCGACAAGCGAAACTTGTGGTAGCGATATCTAGATAAGTATGAAATATCCAGCTCGTGGATTGAATTCCGAGAAATAAAAATTCATTTACGCAAAGCTATGATCTTTTTCTCAAAGTATTTAAGTAAAATGCTTTTTTAGGTTAATAATTGTGATAATTTTCTTGATTAATCACGCATAATTAGCGATACAATATTCATTTAATTGAGTAGCCTGTCAATCTTTCGATCGTATGCGAGAAAATCTGTAAACTCTTGCGCGTCTAAGATGAGAGAATAGAATTAATTTGCATGCAAAACGCGTGCAAATTTATGCACGCAGAAATCATACCTTTCGACGTGAAATATCGATGGCGGCATATTATGACTGCATATTGAATGTGATAACAATATTAATATTAATGATATCAAATATCGAATATTAATTGCGTGTAACATCAACAATTTTGATAATCCCTTAAAATAACCATGGATATTGTTAGTAACGAATATAATAGTTACAATGTTGGCAATTAATAACGCCAGTGACATTACTAGTATACCTAATTACTATTCGATTAGCAAAAATTATTACGCTAATACTCGCAGTAGTCGCGATCTATTCCAACTTAAATTTGAAGTAAATACGACGTCTTTGCGATACCGAAAAACGTCAAACTCCCATACTAGAAAGAAATTACTTTGCGAGACTCGCGGTCGCTTTCGCTCCGACAAATACCAATTAGTTAAATTACATTAAATTCGGTTGAACGTTAATGATCTCAATTATAATATTGTATTATCATTATACCAGAAGGTTTGCGGGTTATCGCCGTGTCTTTCTTCATTATTAATAATTGTATTATCATATTTATTTATATTATACTATATTACATATTATACATAAACATATTATACATTTTAGGCTAAAAGTTAACAAAATACTTTCGATAATTCAGATTTTTATGATTGTTTATACAAAATATCTACAACATGATGTGTTTTTTAACAATAATTAATTTTTTGGATCCAATAAGTGTAATTGGGTCTAAAAAATTATTGTTTAAAGAACACGTTGTTATGGATATTTGACTAAATAATTACAAAAATGTCAATTTTTAAGAAGTTTTTCTAAACTTCTGGCCTAAATTTATATACACAATATGTAAAAATTATATACATATGTATATATAAAATTATCGTATATGTAAATTATTCTAATTAGAGCACTCTCGCTCTTATATATTCATTTCTACTAATGTAGGTCAATTTTAATCTCCATTTAATTTACTTTTTATCCGTTTCTTGTTCTAAAAATCAGAAAGAGCTGAAGAGTAAAGTAAATCGGGATTAAAATTAAATTACATTTATAGAAGTGGACATTATTCAATCAGTTTGCTCCAAATTTGCTCGACTTATCTTTCTTTTTTTTTTTTTTTTTTTTTTTTTTTTTTTTTTTTTTCCAGCATAATACTCGGCATAATACATCCATCTGACAGAATCACCTGATTTTGACGTTACTGCCCGATGCTACTCTCCAATGCAATGCGAAGAATTAATATGGAGTCTCTTTCTAACTATATACTGCCACTTTTTGCCTTTTAACTTATATGACTAGTCACTAGGATAAACAGATATAATAACAATGTGTGTTTTCTTAACAATAATTTTTTAGACCTAATAATTGGATATAAAAAATTATTGTTAAAAGAAATTATTACGGATGATTGAAACCTTTGTCAGATTTTATAATTGACGTTTGCTTCTAGCTTATCATTGTTTACAATTCACATTGTAACATTTCTATCACGTGCTTTGTAATTTAATGATATTACTTAACTGGTATTAAAACCCAACTTGGCACAGAGCCCTTTAACTTTGTTCCATCTTTTTTTCTCTTTCGCCAGACGGACGTCAGCATAAAGCCTGAAATCTTATTCCTTGTTGTCCGTGCTTGTCATTTGTCTCAGATTTACAGCTTTAAACATAATGAAAAAGTACAGGTACGGGAAATAACAGGAACAGGAAATAACAGACTTCGACCCGATGAAAAATCGTGTACTCTGATATATTCACAGATTCCGATAGGTTGAAATCCGTTATTCCTCGTTGGCTGTACTTTTTAATTGTCTCAGGCTTAAATGATACGAAAGATCCACTTACTCCTCGGAGTGTCCGCGGCGGCCGGCTCGAGCGTGATGTTCTTGGTGCTGAAGAACGGCCTGACCAGCTCGCAGTCGACGACGAGCTCGGTGCCGTTGGACGTCGTCTTCAAGCGGTGCGATCTCGCGTGCGCGATCGAGTGGCACACGCAGTGACACCAGACGAGGATCGCGAGCAGGACCGCGGACGCGGGGAATCCGCGAGAGGCGGCTCGCGGTGTTATTTTCATTTTGGCAAAATGGCCCCGCGCGCGCGAGAGAGAGAGAGAGAGAGAAAGAGAGACGGAAACCCGGAGAAAAAACCCGCGAGGGAAATCGGCGCACGCGACAGAAGGACGTTTCGCGCGAGCGTGTTCGTGAAAATCGTCCCCTCTCTTTCACTCCGTAGCGCCTGTATCCTCTGTGTGTACGTGTGTGTGTGTTGTGGCCTCCTCCTCCTCTCTTCTTCCTCTATTCGTCGTCTTCTTTTACAAATTCGTTCCCGGCGGAGTCATCCACCGTATCGGAACGCGGTGATCGTTTGCCGAACGGCGGACGCGCCGTCAGACGGCACGACGACGGCGACGAAAGCGAGCGGCGGCGGTGCTGCGGGCACTCGGAGCATGCGGCGCGAACATTTGGTGCTGCGTTCGTGAGACGGAGATGGAGGACAAGGAAGACGGGCAGAAGGAAAAAGGAGAGGAGAGAGAGAGAGAGAGGTCAGAGACGGCGATCAGCGATGCGTCCAGGCGATCACGTACATCCAGCGGTGCTTCCGACACATGCACGCTCGGCCACTCGATTCGTACCACAATACGAAACGCACATATGTATTTTTACGTGTCGTGCGCGGGCGAGAGTTACGTACGTGTGTGTGTAAATGTGTGTGTGTGTGTATGTGTGTATATATGTGTGTGTATGTGTACACGTGCGACGTATACACGCACCGTATCTTACGTACCCGTGAACGCGAACCGCGAGATGGAAACGAGCCGGAACGCGCGTCGAAACACCTCCCACGGGTGACTCGATGCGACTGAAGCGCCTGGTTCGAGTTCGACTGATATGCCCGGCGAATTATGAATATTCGAATGGACCCGCCAGATAGCGCGCAAAGCGCAGCGCCCCCTTGCGGCCGATCTTCGGCGATTACGTTTACGTGCGCGTAAATGGTGAATTTGCCAATGGTCGGTAAGGGAGATTTCGTTTTTTTTTTTTCAGCGCGAGTATTATTTGCTGCCTACCTTATTAACAGATGCTATATTTATTAATAAACATTAATATAAAAAAAATATATAGATATATGTGTGTGTGTTTTCTAGGAGAGATATATATTTATGCTCCCAGAAAATACACATTCAGGCGTCTTATAAGACAACATAAATAAAGAAATTGAGCCTTCTATTAATTTATTTTATTCACGCGGGTGAAAATGATACGTTACAATAATTTTTCTTTTACTTTTATTCGTATTCATTTTGGTCATAATGTATGTTTAATGTATTGCAATTTTGAGTTAATTACATTTATGTATCTTTTTTTAAAAAATTATTGGCTCTTTTCTCTTATTTTTAATCAATTTGATAAATAAAGAAGTCTTAAAATTTATGAAACATTATTAAGTTGATTAAAAATATGCTAAAATTAAAAATTCTTGACTTTTTTATTTGATAAAATAAATAAACTAAGAAATATACAGAGCTATATAGAAGTCGACCGCTGGTTGTTATATGTTGCGAAATCTTAAAAATAATAACATAATAATCTTCGTATGTTTCGACTTCTATGTTTCAAGTCATCTTCAGCTTTTCCAATATTACTGGATATTATTTGAGATGTAAAGTGTCCTATAATTGCATATTATACTATCTTAAGTGCCACACCTTGGAACCTTTCTGAGAAATGAGCAATTTGTCCAAACAGTTACAAAGCTGAGTGTTGAAATAAACTCTAGCTAAAAGTTAAAAATACCATTAACCAAGATTGCATGGACATATTGAATTGAAATTTAAAATAATATAAATTTATAATAAAATAACCTTCATAAGCACACCACGAGTGATCACACAACTTAAAACTTAGATTTTACCGCAAATCACCCCCATTCACATAATCTTCAGAACTTCGTCACATTTTTCAATAATATTTTATTAAACATTTTTCGGAATATTAGAATTATATCTATATAACGCCTAGTGGATATCTATCAGTATGCATGTTTTCTGGATTATTAAATTGAAATTATCCGCCAGAATTGTCAATTTCATGAAATAATCTAAATCTGTATTTAACATTGATAATGACGCGACCAATATATTGAAACATCTGTTAACAGTAATGTTTATTGATTCCATTTCTTAAACATTGTGAAAGATCTTGTTCGGCTTGCAGCCCTCCTACTATTTTATAAATTTTAATTTATTTTGATTGAAATATGTTATAATTTTTAACGTTATTAAAATCACAGTTTTAAATAAAAATCGAGAATTATTTAATTTTAAACATACACACACAATACACACATGTATATCAAATTAATAAATGTCAAATTAGTAATACATCTACGTCATCTAAAAGCTACGTTCAACCGAAAAAAGGGGCAAATTAATATTAGTTAAAACTTAAAATGCTTATTACAGAAGATTGTTTGAAAGTATTTGACATTCTATGTTTATCATAAAATCCGCTATCAACGATTTTATTAGTCTGCGGTGACTTCTCGAAGGAATAAAGTACGCATAGTAATCAAACGTTTATTAAACACTATACATTTGTGACCATTTTTACAAATACGTTTAAATTTTTAGAAAAATTTAAACGTTAATAGTGCAATTTTGAAACACAAGGTATGTTTCCAAAGACATTATTCATAGTACGAATAAATACAATTGTTTCTTTAACTAATACTAAAAGTATCAACATTTTCTTACCAAAACAACTATGCGATCATCATTGACTGCAAATAAACGTGTTTAATATTAAAGAAAGGAGTAAACTTATTTTCTTATTTTAAAGTGAATCTTAGTTGTTAAATATAGAGTAAATTTATATACATATACAATTTTGCAAATAGTGTGCTTCCGAATTTTTTTCACTTCTCAAACGAAGCGCAGTCGTGGACATAATTAGAGCTGTATTATCAAATTAAAATGATAATCAATATTTAATAATTTCAATAGTAATGAATATATTTTTATCTTTTAATATTTTCTTACTTTTTGGTATAGATATTGTTTATAACGACAATTGATGCAACATGTACCTAGTAAACATATGTAACAGCATAATATTTCTCATAGCAATAACTACTCTTAACGGAGAAGTAAACGATTCTAGAATTCCAAATAATACACGTTTACCTTATTACGTGTTACCAGTACACTACACCATACAGCTTGTGTACCAAAACCTAATTCATCAATGTATCGATAAAAATTTCATGTGCAATGAGACTACTGCAGATTTAAGTCATAATAGTTATGACTCACTTCTATTTCATGGAAAAAGCGTTACAACTATCAATATTCTTCAATCGACTCAATATATAGAATTACATCAACTAAATCTGACAATAATTGGGCAGCATACAACTTTTAATACACAGAATGGCATAATATATGTATTGCAGAATAACTATAAATATAACTATAAAACGAATATTTTAAAATTTAAATTACCTTATATATTATTCCCCGGGCTCTACACATTCAAAATTGAATATTTTGGTCATCTTAAAGGAACCCACGGAAAAAGTACCTACAGAAATTTCTACGAAAAAGAAGGCGTGGCGTAAGCAAATATTGAATAGACGAATATATATAACATACATGCATTGTATCCCCATAATATAATTATTTCTTATTTTTTCTCAAAACTCATTCTTTTATACCAATTTTTTATATTGTTACGTAAATTATATCTAATAGCAAAAAAGATATTTTATTTAATGTTATTTATAAAGCAAATATAAAGCAAATATAATGGTTATTAAAATGTTGTAGATTGTTGGTCGCTCCACACATCCAAGGAAATGGAATCAGACAATTGTTTCCTTGTTGGGACGAACCGAATCTAAAGGCTACATTTACAATTTCTGTAACACATCATCGTAATTTTACAGTTTTATCCAATATGCCGATAAAACACATTTTCACAAATAACATGCCGAATAATATTGCTGATAAATGGACATTTTTCTATACTACTCCTCCATTATCCCCTTTTCAAGTTGCAATAGTTGTGACTAATTACAATCGCATTGTAATTAACGAAAACATTACTTTGTGGTGCGGAAGCTGTTTACAAAATCAACAACTATTTAATTTTGCAAAGAGAATCACAGAAAATATTACATTGCATTTAAAAGCTGAATTTAGTGAAACAGATGTAGATATTCCAAAAATGGATCACTTTGTAATTCCAAATTTTGTACAAGACGGCACATCGAAATGGGGGCTTATATTTCACACGTAATACATATTTATTTCTGAATACATTATATAACAACTTGTTAAATGAGAAAATGATATGTCAATAGAAATATTTGCGTAATTTATACGTATATCCAATATCGTAAGAAATTTTCGGTTAATTATAAAAAATTAATTATTGAAATAGGTATTAAGTACCATTACTACACAATAGTTCCTATACAATTTGTATTTCAATATAAAATAGGTACACTAAAAAAGACATATCTTAACTTCATATTTAAAAAAGTTATTTTTTTTGGATCAATGAAGATTTCATTGAAAATAATAGTTTTTACTTTAGATTTATAATAGTTTTTACTTTGGAAAAATAAGATTTTACGTAAGTTCATTAAAAAAAGTGGATATTTTACAAAATGTTGCATACTTAATATTAAAATTAATTTTTTGAAATACAACGCATAACCATTGATTAATTTTCAATTATAATTTATCATTACAAATTATATAAAATTAAGAACATTAAACATTTAATACACATTGCTAAAAACAAAATAAATTGAAATCTGTAAAGAAAATCTTTCCGTTTCATATATAAAAAATGAGCAATCATTTTCGTAATAAGAATATTTGTAATAATTTTTAGGGAGACGAATCTTATTTATGACGAACAGTCAGACTCAGTTGTTCGCAAAATAGAAGTCGCACGTTTAATAGCACATAAAATAGCATATCAATGGTTTAATAATATATATAACTCATCTTCGTGGTCATACGATCATTTTCCGTTACACGACGGTCTCGCTGCTTATTTCGGGGAA